TATGGTCATGCTGGCCTAGTTTGTTGGTTTGCTGAAGCTTGTTAGTTGTGTGATGCATTGTCTTGTTATATACAAGTTTTTAGTTTTGGTATAGAGATCATGGTGGCCTTGACGGCCCAATCAGGACTTCTGTGCTAGTTGGATGTTTCTTTATATGAACTCTTGGGAGTAGCTGGTTCTTTTGTAGATCTGTTGACAGGGGCCTTGCCGGCCGAGGGCTTAGTTTCAAGCCGAGATATACTTGTTTGTTTTCTTAATTGCATGTGACTGTCATGCGCTAGTAGCAAATGGTTCAGCAGGGTCGGCTCGGGCCTGAGTTTTGACTTTAGGAGCCAGTTGCGCCCCTTGAGTTTGGGGCGTGACAAATACAACTAGATTAGTGAACAAGATCTATGTGGCAGTGACCACATTATGCAAACCGGTATCAACCAACATATTATTAACAACTAAGGACATGTTTACAAGTGCATTGGAACACCAAACAATAAATTAAGCCAAAGCTAAGAGGTAACCTCAATAATATTTATTTTTATGCATCAGTAGCTAGCCAATAAATAAACATACAAAAGTCGAAGATTTACCCGCGTAATGAGAAAACCAAACTAGATTCGAGTATTAATATCCTACCAAAGATTTTAGAGGTAAAATCAAAGGAAGCATTATATGCGAAGAGACATAATTTCATTTAAATATTTAATGACTCTAAGTTAAGCCACCTAAAAAGGGGAATACTTATGGCTTTACTAAAATAACAAACATGAACTAATGAAATACATCAATCATGGATATGCTAAAAAGATAAGACCAAACTAATTTTTTATGCAACAAAGCTACTACTCTGTTAGATCTAATCACAAGAGAGCTCAAAGTTTCCTAAACATGATAACTAAGAGCTATAAATGGCAAAAGGTGCACTCCTCAATGTGACAGTAATCAAAGAGCAGTCTCATAATAACCAACAAATCGTACTAGACTACTGAATTCAACATAATGAGGAAAATTTATTCTCAAAATATACCAAGATAAAAATGTAACATAAATAGCAAGATCAAAGTGAAACAAAATGCACATGCTGCTATGAACACTCTAATAGACCAAAACATTACCAATATAACAAACCAATATTGTGTTTTTAATTATCAGTTTCGGAAACTAAATCCTCACCAAGCACATCACATTCAATATCGAGATAAAAAAAATACAACAATGAGTATCGATTCACACAAACCATAACAATCCAACTATAAACTAGGAAACTAAGCAACGAATCATAGTGGAAAGAAATTACTTCTTCGGAGCAGCGATTTGAGACAAAAAACGAGCAAGGAAAATAGCGACTTCATCACCGTAATACTACTCCAAGGACCAAAGTCGAAACAAGCAAGAACAACCACTACACAAGAATCTGGATTATGGTCTCTAACGCTCAAAAATTCATATGTAACAGATAGCTGGATATATTCAGTGAGTTTTCTTCTTTTAGGCTAACTCTCACTCCAAAATTCAAAATTATTTCACCATTAAAGGAGGACACACTTTTCTGAAATTTTTGCCCCATTCCGAAAGAGGAAATGGGAGAAAACGCATGCCTCTGCTGCTACTGTGATTGTACAAATTGAAAGGGACATGAAGAAGACAATAATAGGCAGCGTGCTGCCTCTTGCGCTGCTTTTCCGTGTATTGATGTCGTGAATTGTGAGATGTTGCTGCTGTGGTCGTGAACATTGGAGAGAATTGGAGTTGGGCGCCGTTTGGAACTTGACGATGTTGCTTTTCACGTTTGGAACGTTCTGGGTTCCCTTTGTGGGTAAGAAATTGGGTCGGGTCGGGTGATTGGAGTAGGTTTATGTATGGATAATGAGCTGTTTTGGTATGTTGTATGTATTATTGTTTCTGGAATTGTTGGATCGTGGTTTTGGGCTGGAAAATTATTGGGGTGGGTTGGCTGGAAAATAAAGAGAAATGGGTTGGGCCTGTTTATTGTTAAAAGGAAAAAATGTATATAATAGCAAACTATTAATTCAAATTAAATGCTATAAATATAGTTTGATTTAATTGTACCTCATAGCAAACTGTTGCTATTTCACCTCTCTCATAGTGAATCTCGCTCGCCACTCTCGTTCTCTCCCTCGCCTCTCTCATTTTATATACAAACACAAGTGTATAAAGTGCGTTTGTGTTTGTATAAAGCGAGAGAAAATTGTATATATACATATATTTTCGTTCCCCTCTCCCATACCTCGCTCGCCACTCTCCCAGATCTCGCTCACCACTCTCCCAGATCTC